CATTAGTTATGTTTCTCATTTTTTGTGTTTAATATTTTTTTGTTTATAATTGTAGTGATGACAAAGGATTAAACATTATTTTATTTTATTTTATTTTAAAACTAGTTGATACCGTCACCGGAATATCAACCGGAGTTGAGTCATTCTTATTTCGTTTTTTATGTCATTGTTGGCGCAACTTGGCCGCTTAATTTATTTTTAAGAAAAAGAATTTGTGTTGAAAGGAATGAGGTAGTGTTTTTTTTTATAATACAAGGTGGCAAACGAGCAAGCGGCCACATGAATCCACCGAAATGGAGAGCGACCGCTGCCCATAGACATCCGCAATTGCAGATGCGTTGCCTACCCTTAATCGATGGAGAAGGGGACGCACATAAAGAGGAAATTTCCCCTTCCTATGCATCTCCTCTACCGTCCAATCCACTTTTCCTTTCCATCCTTTCTTCTTAAGAAAAGGGTGGAAAGGGAATGGGACTAAAATTAGGCGTCGGGCACCACACTTGTCAGACGAAACGCGGAATTGCACTTCCAGTGTTTCTGATAGTGTAACACCATGGATGTCCGCGATTGTACATAATAGAACGTAGATCACAAGTCTAATTGCCTTACCGTGGTTCTTATAGACATCAAGATAATAAGTTGTCTTTCAGATGGCAGCAGGACACGCTGGACATGGTGTGCTCGTTGGCAGTGGTGTGCTGCAGCAACCGGCAACACATCACTTACTCACACAGAACTCGATATTAGGTAGGTCCATGTTAATTTGTGCCAAATCAAGCTTTTACATTGGCTTTATTGTTTGGTCTTTAATGTAACTAAAATTGTTTTTTTTTTATTACTTAATAATTTACAATGATTATTGTGTTTTAAGTATTGTTATGTACAGTTATGTCTTTATTTTTAATGTTAACTAACTATGACTCGCGACTTCTTCCGCGTCAAATTAAAAGATAGTAAAATGTTATACGAATATTTGAAATCGGTTCAGTAGTTTTTGAGTTATCAATACATACAAAAATGCAAATCTTTCCTCTTCATAACATTTATTAGTAAAGATTCTTCTTTTTGTGGATTTCTCAAGGACATTTGCTGTTCACGTTTTTTTGGGCTAGAATGTGGACTGATTTCTATTGAAGCCCAACTAGAACTGCCCTTGTCTACCAATGTCAATGTCTCTTGTCTTTTCTACCTTGGACTTTTTGGTTGTATTTTGCTTGCTTGGCTGACTTTAACGCTAACTAACGTGGCTAACGCTGTAGGTGGCGACATCCTGGGCTTGTCGAGCCCCGTGCTGGGAGGCGTGTTACATGCGCACGCCCACCCCGCACTGCGCGGCGTCAAGCCGGCCGCCGTGCACGCACTCGCCACCGCGCAAGGTCGGTACGTCTATATTCCAACTATACTTTATTTAGATCCTTTTGTAGTGATTATGTCGCATGTACTAATCTATTTAATTACCTATTTTTTTCTACTATAGGAACGGAACAAACTGGGAAAATATATATGTTTTCGTCTTATTACAACCCACCTTTATATATAGCCGGTGCTCGCGTCTATGTGCGCGTGGAAAACATTATAGTATAGCCTATAATTACCCGGCGGTAACGTAGTTACTTATTGGTGAAATAAATT